GGGGTCTCTGCAGCTTACCTGGCTGCTTCTTGCTCTGACTGAGGGCTGCTGGGAGCAAGGGGTGGGGCTTGTTGCCTGTGCCCACCCCCTGGGCTCTTTACTGCCGGGGCTCCGCTCCTGTGCGCTCCCGCAGGAAATGACCCCTGCTCAGAGTTGTCGTCTCCCAGCTGCTGCCATGAATGACAACGCTAATCTGCCGTTTGATGTAGGTATCTCCACAAGCCACAAGGGAAAGGTGGCAGGAACTCATTGGAGGTCTAACGCTGTGCCCAGCCCCCTCTCTTTGGTCCTTTCCGCACTTGGATCTCATCCCTGGTTTTATCAGAGTTTAGCTCGCGACACAATTCCTTGCGTTTATCCCTGGTTATAACAGCATCCGTTTCTCCCGGGACAAGTGTGGGGCGAAACCGGGGTGACCTCAGTGTAACGCGGAAACAAAAAACAAACAAACTCCGAGATAATTACAGGGGTGAACTCAAGCGTAGTGCAGAATGTAAGTTTGGGGACAGGGCCGAGCCAGGGTTTAAGGTCTAGCGCGGAAAGGACCTTTGCTATGGAGTACAACTTGGTCTGGTTTCGCCTGTCTTTCTGAAGGGTGGTTAGGTAGGCACTCACCAAGCACTCATTTCTAGTTTTGTGCTTTTCTGGGCTGAATCACGCTATCACCCCTGCTGAGAAATTCTGACTCATGGCGTGGCGAAAAACAAAGACAAAAACCCCGAAAACAGCCTCGGCAAGTTGAAATGCTTCTTTTAATAAATTCAGTGAAAACTCACCGGTTAACAGTGGAAGAGAACAGCTCGCCGCAAACCTGTACAGAACTTTCTGCCCCAAACTCACCCACTTGAAACAGTGAACCCGCATCCCCCACGAGGTTGAATATTCTAGTGTTCGGATTGATTTAAATTTATCCATCGGGAGGACTTCTGTGCTTCCTAAATAACGGAATGTAGCGGGGAGGCATTGTAGGAAAATTCAAAGGACACAAACAGAATAAGTTATTTTATTACAGTTTTTACGGAATGGAACGGGCAGCCTAAGCCACAGGGATGTTGTCCTTTAGCGCAGGCTAGCTTTCTCGTGCCATTCAGCGGGCTCTGCGCAGGAGAAATTCCCTGTGGATCCGGCCCACCCTCTAGCTTTAGAACCAAGTATCAGCAATTTTACAGTGCAAGAGGTATTACACCTCAAGGCATTTAAGGTGCCAGAAACCGTTAACATCAAATATATTAATGCAAAAAACCCCCCAAATAAAACAAAATTTCCAAAATGACAACACCGAGTCTTAAATATGTACACTTCTTATAAACACAAATAGTGCAAATTATATTATATTATGTATATATTTCAATATATATCTACAGTATATGCATTTTGAGTATAAAAAGGACTTTTAGAACAGGTCCTTAAAGGATGTAAGAAATCTGCGTTAACACTTTACAAAGTTAGATGTTCTGAAAGTCTTTAAAAAACCAACTCATTTTTTCTCTTTCTTCAAGAAGAACTGCCGAGCTTCTTCCCACGTCTGCCGAGGGAACCGATTGGAGAGCTCGAGATAATCTTGGGAGGCGAAGGCCTTTTCTGTTCAGCGAAGAAAGTGAAGAAAGAGAACCAGAAGTATTTTTGTCGTGAAATACAACAAAAAAATGTTAGCAAAAATGCCCAGATAATTTACAATTTATTCCACACCTTCTCCATTCTTCCCCCTCCCTGATGTTTCAACTACTTTTGATAATAAACTGAGGTAAAACTTTCAATGTGTTCGTTTGTGTTCCGAAAAGATTGTTTTATTGGACAACCGTCTTGACTTTACTGTAGAAACTATTTTGCCCCGTTAACCAGTGTATGTGGTAAAGGCGGGGTGGGGTGGGGTGGTGGAGCCAGATTGGTGTAGTGGTTAAGTGCGCGGACTCTAATCTGGAAGAACCGGGTTTGATTCCCCACTCCTCCACTTGCACCTGCTGGATGACCTTGGGCAATCCGTAGTTCTGATAAAAGCCGTTCTTGAAAAAGAGCAGTTTCTGTCAAGAGCTCTCTCAGCCCCACCTACCTCACAGAGTGTCGGTTGTGGGGAGGGGAAGGGAAAGGAGTTTGTAAGCCGCTCTGAGATTGAGTGAAGGGCAGGGTATAAATCCAATCTCTTCTTCCTCTTCCTCTTCTTGCCACTTCACAAAAACCTTCACAAGGATTAAAATCCATCTTGATTTGGAAGGACGCCTAGGCTGCATTCGGACATATATTTATCTGTTTCATTTATGTCCTGCGCCTTTCTCTCCAATGGGGGCCCAAGGCGGCTGACATTGTTCCCCTCTACTCCATTTTAGCTTCACAACGACCCTGTGAGGCAGGTTAGGCTGAGAGTGTGTGATCAGCCCAGGGTCACTCAGCGAGCTTCCACGGCATGAGTGAGGATTCGAACTCGGGCCTCCCAGATCTTTATCTGACACTTTATCTGAGAGACGTCGTGCTCAACTGCAGTTTTTCAACTGTAGTTCCACTGAACGGTACGCCACTCATCTTACTCCACTTAGCAGGTGGGCTTCGCACCGAGATGTCGAATCCGGGAACGACTTAGTTTGTACTATCTCCGGTTAGTCAAGACATTCAAATGCGGGAACTGTTACGAACCGTGCGAATGCCCGTCTTTTCCGGCAGCTGAGAGGGCAAGATAAAAATCTGCTCCTCCAAACAGATCCTGCTGGGGACACCACTTGTTTCCCACGCGAAATCAAACACTGAAAAGCGGCTTGTAAGAATGGAACGCCCCCCCCCCCTACCTGTGTCAAGACTTAATCCGCAACAAAGAGCTCATCCAAGCCTTATGGGGTTCTGTCTCAGGAACAACCTTCTATCAATAAGCAAAACGCAACCAATCTGTCAGTCTGTTCACCTCCTAGAAGCGACGTATTGTTTGACTGCACAAGGGCTGATTTGATGAAACTGACAGAATATACTCACCCCTTTGTTGAGCGGTCTGGTTGTCTGTTTGGCTGGAGTTCTGTGTGAAATCCTATAGAAACAAAACCGGTGGCGTTCAGTGTCTGAGAGACGGGTTTCGAAAGAACAGCTTAAAATATATAATTACGCAAATCAAACCGACGTCAGGCGGCGATACAGAGAACCCCCGACCCCGACGCTCTCTGCATGCCTTAGAAGCAAACCAAAACACCTTATTTTTTACATTTGGGAGGTGTTTCACAAACTCTTGGCTGTACTGCAGAAGACTCCAACTGATATAATAGGTAGCTATGTAAGTGCCGTCAAGTTGCAGCCGACGTCTGGTGACCCCAGTGAGGGGCTTTTGAGGCAAGTGAGAAGCCGGGGCGGTTCGCCATTGCCTTCCTCTGCAGAGCCTTCCTTGGTGGTCTCCCTTCCAAGGACCGACCCTGCTTAGCTTCCAATTTAGGGTGACCCCCAGCAACGGGATTTTGAGGCAAGCGAGAAGCAGAGGTGGTTGGCCGTTGCCTGCCTCTGCAGAGCCTTCCTTGGTGGTCTCCCTTCCAAGTACCGACCCTGCTTAGCTTCCGAGATCTTAGGAGGTCGGGCTATACCGTGCCGCCTCCCCTCCCGATATAATAGGCAGGCAGGCAAATTTTTTGAACGACGTCTATACAATCTGTAGCAAGAATCCCTTCTGTCAATTCTCTCCCCCCCCCCAACAAATGGGTGCTAAGAATTCTGTAATGGTTGTTTACAAACCGTGGTCTAAAACACATGCCTTTTGAAATGGCACACAATTCACTTGTAAGACGTGCCTGCTATGCTAACATTAGAAGCCAAAGGTCTAAGAAAGGTTACAGGATCCTCCTCCACGAGGAATTGAGCGGAGCTGGGAGGCTGGGGCACTTCTACATCTTGATAGCATTTTTATCCAAGCTACTGAATAAGCCAGCCGCCACCCCGATTAACTGGAGTCAGCACTACCTGGAATTATTTGCTGCTCTGGAAACAATGTCTGGCCCCTTCCCCCCCCCCCCCCCCCCCGGTTCAATCACAAGCCCCTGTCTTCCTGCGTGCCTGGAAGTCTCCAGAATACGTAAAGACCTCTTCCCTTGTCTGTGGGAGGTCCCCTTTGGCAATCATAGCAGGAGCCGTAGTGCCACCACCAAAAAGGCCTTGTCCTCTAGGGGCTTCCTTGAAGGGGGCCCCACACTGCAGGGCCTCTGAAGTACATCTGAATGCTCAGACGCCAGTGTTCCCTCTAAGCTGAGTTAGTGTGAGCTCACAGTTTTTTAGCCTCCGGCTCACACATTTTTGTCTTAGCTCAGGGAGCATGGCTCCAGAGCAAACTAATTAATGCAGCAGCCAGATCACTGGCTCGCAGCTTTAATGCCAGGAGCTCACAAAGTAGAATTTTTGCTCACAAGACTCCACGGCTTAGAGGGAGCATTGGACGCCACCATGTTGGGAGCATGGAATGCCTCTTTGGATCTTGGCTCCAGACTCCGCTTGCTCCAGAATTTTGCCTTTAGCTTCCTTTTGAACTCCATAACTAGTCCTGCTAACATAGGCTGTGGTAATAAAAGCTCAACGTTTCGCAAACAACTGATGATTGCAGAATTTCCCTGCGCTAATAGGTTTTAAAGTGGAGCCTTGGAGCTGAAGGCTAACCCCTGGAAAGAGCTAAGCGTTCTGCCACAGAACCTGATACTCTGGATCGGTTGATTTTATGATTGGCAGGGTGCACCCTTTTAGAGGGTGGTGGCAGCATAATTCTACTTGGGATCTTTCCCTGACTTGGGTTCCGATTATTTCTGCCGCGAATAACCCTGTGCGGCCAATCACCCAAAGACCCCTTTGTCTTGGGCACACTGCTCTGAGAAATCACCCTCCAGAACCTGCCCACTAGGATAATTTGGGTCGGATTTTAATACATAACACAAGAAATCTGGACAGAAGGGGACGCAGAGATAGCCTGGTGACCCCACCCCCAGCTTCTCTGATTCCATTTTTCATTCTGTAACAACAGACATACATATAGTACTCTGGAAAATCTTGTTGGTCTTTAAGGTGCTAGTGGGATCGGATCCGATTGTTTCGTGTATTTTCTTCTGCTCCGTTTTTACATATCCTACAACCCAGGCGATGGCAGCGATTTCTTCCATCTCCCACCCCAATAGTTATTCTCCTGTCCCAGGGTCAGATATCTCCCCCCCCCCTCAAAGGAGAACCTTCCCTGAAACGAATGGGATATTTGCCTGTGTAAGGCACAGAGATCATGTCTCTCCGCGATAGTGAGTGGAAATGTAAGAACAATTGAAAATCTGTTTCTCATTCTGCAATATCTGGTGGTGGCGGAGGGGGGGGGGAACCCAGCCTCTGGTACAGCCTGCCTGTTTGTTTGTTTTAATATTATTATTAGATTTTTAAAAAAGAAAATCTGATGACTGAACGATTTCCAAAAGTGGAAATGAACATGTCTTCGGGCTGTCGAGTTGTATATACGCTCATGCGAACCAGACACCCGAGCACTTCAACCATTGCCCGGTAAAATCAAATGTAAAATCAAACAGGCTCGTACAATCTAATGTTAACAGCGCGGTGCCAACTGCTTCTGGAAAAAAGGAGAACAGCTTGTTTGTCGCTAAGGATCAGAGCTACTGGGGAGGGATGCCCCAGAAGGGGTGCCTCCACTCACACACAAGGAACCTTCACTTGTGCAAGAAGTTCTTGCACGGATGGGAGACCTGTTGCGCCACTTGAAAGTGCCACCAGTCATGGACAATGCTCTCTCTAAGCTGTGGAGTCTTGTGAGCAAAAATTCTACTTGGTGAGCTACTGGCATGAAAGTTGTGAGCGAGCGATTTGGCCTCTGCATCAATTAGTTTGCTCTGGAGCCCTCCCTTCCGGAGCTAAGGCAAAAATGTGTGAGCCAGAGGCTAAAAAACTGCAAGCTAGCTCACACTAGCTCCGCTTAGAGAGTACACTGGTCATGGAATACATCCAGGGGAACCTGTCCTTGGCTTCTAAAGCCTCTCTAACAAAAGCAGTGCTACAAAGCGCCTTTTTACCAGCACCTTTTACAAAGTTATAGAGGTTAAAATATTCCCGTTATTAGCGCATTCTACTACGACGAAGAATATTTTTTTAATATCCCAAGCAACAACAAATGCTTGCCTCCTCCTGGAGACTGCTAAGACATTAAAAACTTGATGCCTTGCTCTTTGGAGCGCTCTGTGTTAGAAATACGTTTTTTTTTAAAAAGAAATTCCTTCCCTTTGACTGCTGTTAGGGTGGCCCAGCCCACCGAGCATCACTAAAACGGAGGCGAGTTACCCAAGAGGAGGCCTGAGCGGATCGCACGGATGGGCCACGGGAGGAGGGATGCGCTCCACCGAAACAAAGGGAGGGGGAAATTTAATTGCGCTGAGAAAGTATAAAAAGAAACACTGTGCTGCCACGATTGTGTGGCGCAACGTGACTGCTGGGAAACCGAATACCGGCAGGCAAAATAAAACAAGCGAATGAATGAGTAAGTAAACAAATAAGTAAAGCAAATCCTTCAAAAAGTGTGAACCGCTTTAAATAATAAATAGATAACACAAAGGGAAGTGGTTAGGATGGACTGCTTTACTGGAAATGGTAGGATTCGAGCATGATTACAAGCGCAGTTTTCTGTAGCTATACAAAGCTGCGTTATGCCTTTTGTTCTGGGTGATAGTAAACTGTACACTCATCTGGGGAGAAGGCTCCTTAATATTTACTTTTTAAAAGCTGACGGTGTTAAATAGATGTAGTTCAAAATCCTGCCGGCATGCCTCACTCGGTTTAACTAAAAACACAACATCATAACATTTAGCGGGAACCCAAATTACTCTACACGCTTTTACTCTTTAAGGAGAAACTTTGGGGTTTGTGTCAAAAAGAATCACTTGTTTGATTAGAAGCGAATGCATTCTGTCCCCCTTAGCTTCCAACGCATCGGAACGGCGAAGAAACCGATACGCAATCGGTTTGTCAGGAAATAAAGTACCTGAATGAACGTAGCCAGCAAAATGCAGCTCATCTCTTGCTCCAAAATGATCTTGTTCTGCGGGTTATTGTAGCAAGCCGCTATGAGCGTTGGAAAGAGGACTTTGATCAAGCGGGGGTCGCTGAAGTACTGGAAGGGCAGCTGGCAGAGTTTCTGCAGGACGGTGGGGTGGCGGCCGGATTGGACAATCACCTGGGGGGGAAAATGCAGACAGAACAATGTTAGAGTCACAGTGACGCACCTCCTGAATCAGCTGGATGGAGAAATAAAATTTCAAAAGCTGAAGGATTTGGTCTTGTTAATGAAGACTAACATGACTGACCTGCTGTACAACCATAGCACCGACACCACAAAGAATATTAAAACTCTACTGTGCGTGTGTTAAAAATAATTTAACGAAGATTGTACTTATCGTGTCACAAAAGGGCCAAAGAAACACAATGCGGAGGGGTTCAAACGGAAAAAGAAATCCGGAGACAAGGTTCTAGAAGAGGAGTTGCTGATAAAGTAATTCTTCACGTAGAACTGGAGTCCCGGATGGCAAGTGCCAACTTTCGACACCGAACAGGAAAAGAAAAAGGAGACTGTAGGTCGTGTGGAGTTCGGACGAGGCTTAGAAAGATTCCCCCTCCCATTTGCCCGTTTATCTGCATTTCTATCAGTGCCACTGACTTTAAAAGGGGAATTGTTTAGATAAATGGAACTGCTGTCAGGCAGGCCGAGTGTATCTTAAGCAACGGAGCGCTATTAAGGGCCTCATCCAGGTTTGAGGTAACTCTCTTAAGTTACTCGCTCGATCTGCAAAGGATTGGATGACAAACAGTGAAATCTTCAAAAAATCAGATCGGCTCCAAGGACAATGGATTCAGCAACAAAACCACGGAAGGGCTACCTGACCCAACCTTGGTTTCGCTTTGTTGGAGGAAGCCCCTAGAAATTTCGGAACACTGTACAAAAACTGAAAAAGGTCAGGATTGTAAATTGTATTGGGGGGACGACCCCCCGGGCATTTTACAGGTACACACACCCGACAGAGACTGCACTCAAATTAAAACCAGAAGGACACTAAGAAGTGGCCGAGAGCACGGGAACATAAATTACAGGGATTTACAGGTTTTCAAAGAACTTTTAACAATTCGTTTAAGAACACATTCTCCTGTAGTAATGCAGCTCGGGTCAAGAACAAGATCAACAAAGTAATAGTTCACATTTTTTAGTTCAATAGCCAAAATGAAACCGAAAACCCAGCCGGTGACTACAGATAGGAACCCCTTAATTCTCTTAAATCCAAATGGAATTTTAAAGACAACCAAATATGCGACCGTATACCACACCGGCAAGGCGCTGCATTGTTTCCGCAGGATGTCAAAAGCGCAAAGATTGTCATTAAGGTATTAAAGGATACTCCCCTGAAACTATATTGCGATAAACGTCACCAACTTCATTTTAAAAATTCATCATTTAGTGGTGATTTTTTTTTTTTTACCACGAGTATTTTCTGGTTGTTGTTTTTTGTTATTTGTTTTTGGAGGAGGATCTTATTGTCCTGAATGATTAAAAAGGGGAGCCAATACCCTTCGGACGCAGAATGCTGCAGAAACTGTATGAGAAAATCCAACAAACTAGTTTCCAGAGTCTTTTAATTTCTCACAAACTTCTAATAACACTCCACTACACCGACTACCAAATCCTATGCCTGCCATTGGTAACGTCTTCCTAAAACAAATCCACAGGGAATCAGGATTCATACTTTATCTTCCCCTTCCTCATATTACCTGAATTTCCATATTTATTTATTTATACGCTGCGGTGGCTCAAGCAGTTAAGACGCTGAACTGCAGACCAGAAGGTCAGTAGTTCAGCAGTGTGAGACCCGAGTGCCGCATGACGGATTCGGATTCGACTGGCTTTCGAGCAAGGGAAACCTTTACCTTTACCCATTCTCCCCAATAGGGTTTACATTGTCCTCCTTTCCTCCATTTTATCCTTCCAACAACCCTGTGAGGTAGGATAGGCTGGGAGCGTGTGACTGGCCCAAGGTCACCCAGCAAGCTGCCATGGTAGAGTGGGGATTCGGACCTGGGTTTTCCAGACACTAGTCTGATACTTTCACCTCCACAGCATATCCAATGTGGCTACTAAAAATTGCTACATCCCATAGTGCTTTGCAACAGGACCAACCACCTTCTTCGTCAACAACAAAGAGGAACAATGAAACATCCATGTTCCATGTTAGGGACCGCGGGGGAATAGCTGCATATAATTTGAACACACTGTGCCCTTGGCACATTATTTATGGTGTGGCAATGCCATCTCTCCGTGACTTTCATGTATGGCTTTTTTGGACAGACGCTTCCAATCCTTATCTTTGCTGGTGGTGACTCAGAAAGAAGTCTGAAGGGAAGAAAATCTGAGATCTCTCCTCCTCTAAAAATGACAGTAGTACTTACTGTTATCAGACACTGAGCATTACTTGTTAAGGGCATGCTTAAATTCAGCTAAGGGGAGAGATCCAGATGGGTCGCCATGTTTGTCTCTCTGTAGCAGCGGAAAACAGCAAGATTCCAGGAGCACCTTAAAGACTAACAAAGTCTGTGGGAGGGGAGGAGCTTTCGTGAGTCACTGCTCACTTCTTCAGATCCCGAAGTTTCTTCACAGGGCTGATGGATTTCCATTCTGTACGGCCAGGGCTATTTTCGGGCAGGAACGCACAGGAACGGAGTTCCGGCTGGCTTCAGAGTTGGCCACGCCCACCACAGCCAAAACCTCTGTGTGCTTGGCTACAGAGGGAAGGCCTGGAGAGCGACCCCCCCCCCGTGACTCAGAGGCGGCCGGCCCAGGAGGGCCCTGGAAGGATCGGGGAGGCATTAAAATTGCCTGGGCCCCTTCCAATGTTCCCTCTAAGCTGCGGAGCCTTGTGAGCAAAAATTCTACTTTGTGAGCTACTGGCATTAAAGTTGTGAGCAAGCGATTTGGCCACTGAATAAATTAGTTTGCTCTGGAGCCATCACAAAAATGTGTGAGCCAGAGGCTAAAAAACTGTGAGCTAGCTCACACTAACTCAGCTTAGAGGGAACACTGGTCCCTCCCCACCCAGCCGAGGCCCCGTGATTTTCAATTTATTATTTTACATGTGGCGCTCCCTTGGGTGTGTGTGCAGGGTGCTCCTCCGATTTATTTAAAGCTCCCCCCCCCGAATTAAAAGATCCTGGCTACGGGCCTGGGAGGAGCTTTCGTGAGTCACTGCTCACTTCTTCAGATACAGCTAGAAGGGGAGTCCATCTTTCCTCCTATTTTGGAGAGCGGAGCGGTTTCAGAAACCGAACGACAACAGCAGGCAAATGGCAATTACGGGTGAATGACAACAGCAGGCCTGATCGGATTAGGTGTGATATCCAGAGGGCTCAGCTTTGGTGACAAAGGAGTCGCAAAGACCTAACCGTTTCACGCCTCTGTGTGCTCTTCCTCACAAAATAACCGAGAAAGTATCTCTATACTTGGGAACGCCGCGGTTGACCACCGAGTTCAATATTGCCCGTAATTTAGAGAAACACTAAACCAGTGGCCTGTGATCCTGAATTGAGTTGTGACACTCATACAGGTGGGTCACGAGGCTCGAATCTCTGAGCTGGGAGAGAAGGCTCCAGGTAGTGGGAAAAGGAAAAGGCAGGGCTGGACTGCCCCATTCTCTTCCCCCTCCTTGGAATGCCATTCATTAACTTGTCTTACTTCCAGCCACTAGGAATTTGGGAGGCAATGGGCTAAGATTGCCAGCCAAGGCCTGGCAACCCCTAGGAGACTCGGGGTGGGCAGGGCCGAAATGGTGCCCCGCAGCATCACCAGAAGTGATGTATAACGAGAAGTGATGTCACCGTGTCCCGGGACAATAGAGGATTCACCCCAAACTATGGTAAAAACCGCGAAGTTTGGGGGTGAGTCCTAGAGTGTCCCGAAACATGGTGATGCGGCTTCCGGTTATATAGCCAGAAATGGTGTTGTGGTGCTATGGGACGCTGTTTCGCCCTTCTACTTTCCCCCACGTCACCCTATCCAGAGGTGGCAGGGGACAAAGGCCAGTGTTGAGAGGCGGGTGCAGCCTTCGTTCATGGTCTCCCAGAGCCACGTCACAAGAGCCCGAACCTTCGCCTGTGGTGCTGGACCCCAAACTGCCGAGTTCGTTTAGAAAAAGTGGCCTCCTTGCAAGTCTGGGAACCACTGCCCGAAGGAGTTCCTCTCCTTTGAGCTCTGCCTCCTCTTCCTGGACCACTCACGACCTCTTATTAGACAGTCCTTGCGGATGTATCCATTCACGCCTCACTGGATCGTATAGCCCCATATGGCAAACAGCCCTGTTATCTAAAAATTCCAGATTATACCCTCAACGTACTCTTCTCTTTATGCACTCTCTCGCTCTCTTTGTTCCTCTGCCACGAGGCTCTTTTCAAAGCCCTGAACCTCTGTTTCTGTTTTCCACCTCTGCCATTGCGTTTTGGCTGCTTCCTGTCATTGGAATGCTCTCCCAGGACATCCAAAAGTCTCCTGAAATGTTTTTTTTTTTTAAAAAAACCCTCAAAACAGATAAAAACACACACAAAAAGATCTGGTTTTCCCAAGCCTTTCCCAAGCCATCCTCATCCTTCGCCCCACCTTTGATGGTAAGCCCGTGGATAGGGACCTGTTTGTTTATCTACAACACTTATATCCCACCTTCCCGCCCTTACGAGATAACAGCGTTCTTTGTAAAACAATAATAATAGCGAGCCAGTTTGGTGTAGCGGTTAGGAGCACGGACTCTAATCTGGGAGAACCGGGTTTGATTCCCCACTCCTCCACATGCAGCTGCTGGTGTGACCTTGGGTCAGTTACAAGTTTTCTCAGAGCTGTTCCCTCACAAGCAGTTCTCGAAAGAGCTCTCTCAGCCCCGCCTACCTCACAGGGTGTCTGTTGTGGGGAGGGGAAGGGAAAGGAGATTGTAAGCCGCTCTGAGACTCCTTCGGGTAGTGAAGGGTGGGGTATAAATCCAATCTCTCCTCCTCTTCCTCTTCAACACCTAAACTCAGTGGGCCCCCAATCAGTGAAGCACATGACCGCCTTTGGAATTCTGAGAATGGGTAGTGGGTACCACCACAAAATGGCTGCCATGGGGTGGTGAGGTCAATCATGAAATGGCTGCTACAGGAGCCTAATCACAA